TTTAATGTTCGTAAATATTTTTTCGGTAATAATATAAAAATTCTTTAAAGGATTAAAAATAATAGTTTAAGGCGGTTAAATACGAAATGAATCGAATAATAAATAGTTCTAGTCTAAAATTTCTGTATACAATTAGAATACTATGGATACGATGTATACAATTTAAAGTATTGTAAGACATAAATTTTTTTATCTATTTTTATAGAGAAACATTTATTAAAGCAATGTTTCACAAAATAATATTTTCAACACTTACAGTATTCTTCTGATGTTGTTCTTTCATTTCCGTTCTTATTTCTGCTAGTGCTTTTTCGAGAGCCATGTCTTTCTCTACATTTTTAATTAATTTCGAATTTAGTTTAATCATACATATTGATATTGTGTTTTCTGTTTTGCGAGAAACTAGTACCAATATAAGAGTTTGAAAAATAAATATTATTTCTTTTTGTCTATTGCTGATGTCGACTGATATTTCTTTGATGTCTTCCTTTTCCTTACATTTTTAATTACTTTTGCTTCCAAGTTTTGCAACCAAAGATGTTGAGTTTGCATTTCCTTCTATGCGAGAATCTGATTGTAAAAGTTTTTTGATGAGTTTTGTATATTCGCCGGCAAGATTCGCTTCCATGTTTTGTCAATCACTTTAGTGTAAACTTTCAGATCGTAGGATTTACAAAAATTTTGAAATACTTTATGTAAATTCCTATTTATTTTCTGCTCCATATGTAATGATTTTAATGATTGAAGAATTGTGTATGCGCTAGATGGAAAAAACAATATTTCGAAGTTGTCATTTTGCATGTCATCTTCAAACTCCTTGTACAGTTTGGTGAGTAATATTACTTTGCCGGTTGTTTCTGTTTTCTGATGATGGTCACTCACAAGGTTTATGAAGACATTATTGTACCAATTTGATATGATGTCATTTTCCCATCCATCTCCTTTTTTCTTAAAAATGACACTTTCCTCGTTTTTCAAATACTTTTTAACTGTTTCATGTTCATATTCATAAATATAATAAGGTGGTAATTTATGACTACCTGTAGCATTTGTACAAAACACAATATATAGACGATCATTTTTCAATTTTTCTATATCAATTTTGTTCTCATCTTGGTGTTGAAAATTCGCACGTTGAAAAAAAGTTTTAAATTTTATAAATATTCGGTTCATATTGTAAATATTATCTCTTTTAATATTTTTTTCTTGCAATTGATGGTGTAAATCTTGAATAAAAATTTTATCGCTGTCTAATTCTTGTTTAGTTTTATCAGTATCTCGCGTCAGATTTTGCGAAATCTTAGGTAAATTTGGAGATTTATAATTAGTAGATTCTTGTTGATTCTCTTTCATGTATCTTGTCAAGAAATTTTTTTTTCCTTTATGTTTTGACGACTCACCAACCTCGTGCATAACTTGAGTTTCTTTAGTCTTAAATGGCTGTTTGGAAAAGTCGAGACTTTGTGAATTTTCAGATAAATTTGGAGATTTATTATTAATAGATTTTTGTTGATTCTCGAAACGTTTTAGATATACATGCAACAGTTGGCTTCTTGCGGAAACTTTTAATGGTCCACCTAACTTACGCATAAGAATTTTTCCTGTATGCATAAATAGTTGTTTGGTAAATTTTTTCGATTCTGTAGTCTTTAGATACCAGTTATGCAATGCACGTTCTAATGGTTCATATTTTTTGCTTATATGTTTTTTCTTTAAGTTTATTTCTTTAGTGGCCAATTTTTTTATCTCATTTGCATCATGTTTAATTTTGTTAAGTGTACTTAAAGAGATGTCATACTTATCAATAATTTGTTTTTCATTGATCGAAGTATCTTTTTCTAATTTATCTAAAATTTCTATTTTTTTTTTAAGCGAAAGATAGATTCGTTTTTTGGTTGACATTATAGATTTTATTTAAAATTATTCTCTCACTTTACTGACTTTATAGATACTTTTAAAACTTTTGGCACACAATATGAAAGGCCGAATATAATACTGGCAACTAAAAGTTGTTACAGTTGGTTGTTCTTGAGAAGGTATTGAGAAGGTAATGATCACAAAACATAACATAAACAAAACATAAACAGTATCTAACAGTCGTATATCAATTCTCTAATTTTTTCATTTTTATGTTTATCGTTTACATATATTAATATTCGCTAAAACATTATATTGTTTATAATTGACAAGGTTTATAAGACGATGAAGTTAACCGCAAAAAATTGTGAGAAAAATTGTTTAAGAGAAACATGTATTATCCTGTAAATATAAAAGATTTTATTAATCTTTCCATTAATTAAAAATCATTCTTAGAGAGAAAAATATAAATTGATTATTTATTTTTTCATTAAAATGTAATGAAATAGATACTTTGTATATATATGTATATACATATGTATATAGGCATGATATGCCCTGATGTGCTCGAATCGCGCACTCGCGTTTATATATTTCGAATAAAATATAAAATCTCAAACAGTGTATGTTAAAAAACGTAGGTTTTAGACTATACAATTTGAATATAGGGGACATACCAAATTTTTATGCTTCGATGAAATTCGTTTAGATTTAGGATTTGCGTATAACTTTTTTAAACTATACACGTTATAAAAAGTATTTCAGGAAATAAAAGAATCTTAACTCTAGTATTGATTACATTAACTCTAGTATTGATTATTTTAACTTTAGTATTGCAATTTAATAGATTACAATTTAACTTTAGATTACAATTTAACTTTAGATTATAATTTAATAGCACATAATTTATTTGGATAATTGTATTAATCTCAAATGAGTTTAAAATTTTTTTCATTTTCATCATTTTTTAGATTCTTTTAAGGCATTTTTATATGCTTGGTATATTTTTTTACAAAGTTGCAAAGTTTCTTTTTATTGAAATATCACTGTTTTTTGTAAAAATTTATATTGAATTATATTTAAATAATACATTAAACAATAGATTTTATATAATAAATTTAAATATTTACTGATTTTGTTCAAACTGGTCACAATCGAAAGCTTTCATCTACATTATACAAAAATGCGATTAGATTCATGATTACGGCTTTAGTTCATGAGATATTTTAATCGAAAATTTATTTGATGTAAAGTTTTGAATAAGCTATTTGATAGCAATTCGACATATCGAAAGCAGTGATTCTCAATGATTGGATCCAATTCTTATATGTACATCGCTACCGCGTAGCTTGATAAGCAAAATAAACGCATTAAATCGTAAAAATATAAACTTGAATGCCAATTTGAATATAGAAAAAGCTAATAGTAAAACGGAAAACAGAACATTTTTAAAAAACTTACTGTATGCTAGGATAATAACTTTTATATTAGAAAAATAGATGTTAAATTTAAAGAAAAGATTATAGAAAAGAAAAGATCCATATAGATTTATCTTACTGTAATTATTGAAAAAATATTTTATTTGCATTTTTTTAAAATAATTATTGTTGCTTATGCAGTAAAAATAAAAAAAATTTCATCATGACACATTATATATCATAAATGTATCTTTGCGTTTAAAATATTAAAATACTATATTTTAAAATATTCTTAAGTTCTTCCTACATTTATTATTTAATATTTTATTTTCTTTCTAATATACTTGCTTCTTTTAAGTTTTAAAACTATAAATATGTAATTTCTTTTTTTATTCTTATTTTTAATATGTAGATGATTAAATTGAGCACACCACATATAATTTATATGTTAAGTATAACAATAATAATTAAATAAATAGTAAAAATCGTACATATCTTTTACAGTTGTTAGTGTAGTATTTCATTTCCAAATAACAATGAGTTAATTGCTAATGTGCAGATTGCTCAAAATATAATTTAAAATATAACAAAAATAATAAATTTTTAAAATATAAAAATATTTATGTAATATATAAGAAAATATAAGAACAAATTTAATTTACATGAATTTTAATTATCCGTAATAGATTCTGTAATAGATCTGTAAAAGTTAAATTACGATAGAGCAATAAATAAGACAGACTCGATTCTTTCATATTTTTACTTGGTGTAAACTTAATATATATATATATATATATATATATATATATATATATATACTTATTAACGTGTTTACAAAACATACAATTGTGAGAAAAGCTTTAGCTTTCTCTATTCTCTTTCATGCAAAGACGGTTAAACATTCTCTTTGTAGTTTTGCATAAAATAAAAATCCTAATATCTGCAATTCGCTGTCGTTGGTCACTCATTCAGCACGACAGTGAACTATACAGGAAGGAAGAAGTTTTTGACTTCCAAAATGTGAAATTGTGTTCACAGATCGCTGATCGTAATAAGTTGCCGCAAATAAATTGTGATCATGCATATTTTATAGCAACGCGATGGCATTGCTTATATTATGAATAAAAGTTCGAACGCTTTCTCTTACCGGCTATAGTAAAGTATATATGCATAATATAATTGAATCAGCCTATATCTTAAACAATGAAATGGATGTCGAGACAAGAAAACAATCTAAGAATACTTTATTGGTGATACAAAAAACGAATATCATAAATCTTAAATATAATTTATAAATAATTCATACAGATAAAACGACTAATAAATATCAAGATAAATGTGTCAAAAGAGAAAAAATTTTATAATTGCATCTGCCCATTGTGGCCATAATATTTTATCGGAAGATAAGTACGAACATAAGAACACATCTACTCTTTTTTGTCTTACTATGTAGGAAATCTTTCAACAAAAGATACGTAAAAATTAATTATTGACTAATAATTGATTTAACAATAAAAAGAAACTAATTAAAGATATAATATCTATTTAAATTTTTATACGAAATGCTCTGCAAAATAAAATTTATTTACAGTCAAAATTTTTTATATCTTAGATTTTAGATATCAATTAAATTTTGAACTTGCTTTATCTCTCTTATTAATTTAAATTTTTTTTAAGTTTAGAATAATCTCATTAGTACATAGTTGACTTATAAATATCCCATATATTACAGAGCATCATGTATTATATAGTTTTCTAACAAATAATACTTTCTCACGATCGTAGAGATTAGCGTAAGAAATACGAAACTCGCGAAGTGAGAAGTGTGATTTGGAATCTTCATTAAGATAAGATGTCAGGTACTCCGAAAGAAGAACATTATTATCTAAGATATCATCGGCTTCCACGCGCTATTGTCGCTTTGAATCGTCGCTGGCTGGGCGGTGAGTTGCGGCTCTGCGGATTGCAGCATGGAAGCTTCCGGCTTAAAAAAGTCTATGATAGGGTGATAGTTATAATTGATTCTTCTATGTGGCTCGTGGTATTCGTCGTCGAAGCCTCCGTTCTGCAACCTCGACGTGGCATCCACGTCCTGGTCGTATGGTTGACTATATCTGTATAAAGGAAGATTTATTTCGTGAAGCATTTTAACAATCTCGAGCAAAATTATTTATTTATACATAACTTTAATATAATAAAAAATCACCATATTTTGTTTAATCTTAGAAAAAATTAATATAATATTGAATAACGTATTTTGAAAGTTTCACCAAATAAGTATTTGATTCAGTAGCTACTTAATTAGATCCTGATATTTATATTATATATGTAAGAATACTTTACAGAACTTTTAAAACCAAGTATTAAAATTTCAATTAATATATTTCTCTCTTATATGTAAAGTTAATAAATTAACTTAATTAACTTAATTTAAATTTTTATAATTAATTTTAAACCTCAAAAAATTGATTTTTTCTATCAATTTAGATATCATAATCTAACGAATTAATAAAAAACAAAGAGATTTATAACAAAGACATTTATATAATTTTTTATTAATAATAAATTGATAAATTATAGAATCATTGCTCTATTTACCGGTTTATGGTCGAGTTACTATGGGAAGTCTCTGCGTAATCGTCGTGAGAAGTGGATTCTCGTCTAAAGGGTGGCCTATTGGGTCGATTAGGTCTGCCGATTTTAGTCAGCGGGCCCTTGTAGCCCGGTGCTCGCGTGTTCGGCGCATGCTGCTGCGGTAATTTATCATATGGTCTCGGGATCGGCGCGGGTTTTTTCGGTCTGTTTCTGCTCGGAAGAGTGAAGGTGGGCCTGCTCGTCACCTGCACGTCCAGCACTGGATTCTTGTTGCTGGAGACTGAAAAGAAAATTGGATGCATTCGCCGACGAGATCATTCGACGCGTAGACAATGATGATCAATTTCAAAATAAAGTACCATGATTGGAATCGTAGTTCGAGGTGGGAGTGTATTTGCTGATGTGATTGAGACTGCCTTGGAAATCGTCCTTGGAATCATTGATCGTCACAAAGTCCGCACCTGGGAATGTCTCCTTAGTCTTCATCGGGGGATCCTTTTGATGCGGCGGGAAAATCTCGGAGTAGCCGTGTACGTGACAGCTACAGCAAGTCGGAACTTTGAATATATCCATGTGCAATCCCAATTTCTGATCCCAAGTCAATAGTCTGTGATAATTGTAAATTTGTACGCAGGAAGACCGGTAGTTTTCGGAGATGAACGAGCAGGTTGAATGTGGATTACTATAATAAGATATGTTAAATGTTATTAAAATTTAATTACTTAATAATATTTAAAAAATAAGAGAGTTCATAATTTGAAAAATAAGGTATTATTAAAAAGGATTATATTTTTTCCTTTAATAATATATATTTATGGTTATATAAGAAGGAATATTAACTTTTATTATTTCTGAGCTCTTTTTTTATCGCAGTCATATTCTGCACAAGACAGCGCCTTATAATTGGCAGATATTTCGTGATTCTGATCAGATATACTTCATTTAACTGCTTAAAATGAAATCATTACGTAAATTGATAATTAATGTCCAAATAAATTACCTTTCTTTCTTTAATACGTAACGTTGCCATACTTACGAGCACTTTTCCAATCGTATCGTCTGGGTGTGTTCGCCTGTATTTATTATATACTTCCAGACTCCGGAAGCAGCTCTCGCCAATTGCGGGCGAGCATACTTGACAGTCGATGGACAAGTGAAACCCTCCTCCACATTGTCAAAGGGATTGTCGGATCTTCTGAGACCAAAAATGGATGGTAAAAATAAATTCCATTACGCAAATAATTAAAAAATGATGTACAAAGTGTATTTAAATATTTTTTAAATATTTTATTTAAACGCAAATTTATTAAGATGTAGAATACGCTGAAATATAATTTTAATATTAACTTTAAAAGAAAAAAGTAAACAAGAATATTTTTATTACCTTTTAATCTCATTGCTCTCGTATCTGTTCTCGTATTTATTCTCCAAAGGCAAGGGACTCGGTAATTTTTCTTCCTCGCTTCCATAATCTTGTGCCTTGTAGTCAGTCAACAATGCCGCCACCATTTCCTTATTGGATCTCAAACTCCTCATAATCGCTTCGCTAGAAAGTTAAGGCCGCTGTTAACGGTTTTTTGCTATAACGGAAACAGACAGTAGAGATATTTTCTCCAATATAGAAAAACCTTTTCATATGCATTTTTTGTTTGAAAAGCTGAGGATAATGTAGACTCTAGAGAGTTATGAAGTTTAGGGAAATTTAGCAGAGAGAAACTGAATGTATGCTCTATAAAAAAAATAATTATTGTAAATTATTTACAACAAGAATATACATATAATTAAAAAAAATTTTAAATAAAAAGTAATTATTAAGAAAAAATGTGTATAATAATTTTATTAGCTAAATTCTATTAATTTAACTTTTTCTCCGTCGTTTATTTATCTCTAAAATTCGATCATCTTTATTTTAATCATCTCAAAAAAGAGATACGCGAAAAGTGAAAACTCCGCGGGCTCGCCAATTAAGACGGTCCGAGAGATTTTAATCTCGCCCGTATGCAAATTGCCGCATAACAATGTTCGTCATTAATTCAATGCCGAAACGAAAGTTCCGGGCAGACTCACTGTGGATAATCATTGGCCTCAAGACACACTGTCTTCGTAAAGAAAGTGCATTCGTTTTCCGTGGGCCTTCTCTTCGGATCGTTCGGACGTTTAGACGGCCGTATGACGGGCAATCTTGATTGACCTGGAAATCGAACGAATCACAATTGTTAGTTAATGCATACTTTTATTCGCAATTGTTAAATCGCAGAAAACTGACCTGTGTAAACGTTCCTTCGATTCGGATGGGATGGTCTCGCTGGCCGCAACGATGTAACATACACGGGTCGCCGTCGTTCTTGCGGTCTTATTAATCGCAGTTCTTGAGCCTGTAATTTGAAAGAATTCAGAAAAATTCTAGAGAATTCAGAAGAATATTGTTTTTACGAAAATGTTCACAAAAACTTAGTATTTTTATTTCATCTCCGATTCACATACAAAAGATACTTCATCATAATTAATAAAATTAAAATTTTCCTCTTTCTTACAATTAACAAATATCGTCTAATTAATTATATTCATTAATTGTAATCATTTGTACGAAATATATAATTACACTCTAATGTATGCGAATTTTTATTATATTCTTCATAATTATCAGAGTCCACAGTATTGTCTATGCGCACTGACCTTAATGATCGTTTATATATACTTAAGAGAAATATTGTTTAAACCAAGTGTATTTTATACTGCATTAACAATATATGTTTTATTATCAATTCAAAATTCATACATTTTCTTGGATATTTATTTAAATATTTAACATATCGATTAAAAAACAAACAAATTATGCGTTTATCAATATCTTAATATATAAAGTTGTAAACTATTAAAATAAATAAATGTGATTGCTAGAAAAAAATCACAAAGTAGTCCAATTTATATTTAATGCGAGTTTTATTTTATATAGCTTATCGTCGAATCCAAAAGTATAATTAGGCTTGTCATAATATTACTGTTTATCTATATGCGCGCATTTATGCATGTCAAATAAATCTATTCGTATATATCCGTCTATATCCGTTCAAATCGCTAATTAATGTCCGGAATGGAAAGTCGCTCTTTCTCAACCGATGTATCTTATACTTGTATAGAAGCCACGCTACTCACGAAATTCACGAGATGGTCCTTCCAATCAAGCGTCGCAATAAAATATGTCGAACGCGTGTGAAAGTATTATTCGCATAAAAGGTACCGTTTAAAAGGCCGACGCTATTGAACTGGCACAAGTGAAACCGTACGATGTTATTCCTCCTAAATCCAAGAACGCTACAATCTTAATTGCAGTCCTTGATCCGGGAATATCGAGAGGAGGAAATAATGTTTAATTGCAAATAAAAATGACAAATGCATCGAATCTGTGTAATAAATATAATCAACGAGCTATCTATTAAATTTATGCAACCGACGCGAATGTGGACATTAACTTTTTGGTTTAGAAATCGCGTTTCATAGATCTGGAATATTTATTACAGGTTTCATATATAAAATTCAATATTTACAAGCATCACGCCGCATGAGAAACTCGCGTCTTTGCCAGGGAAAACACACATATATATATTATAATTAACCGATGAGATAAATCTCGTTGAAATTTACGATGAGTGGACACGTCAAACTCGACTTTCTACCGTTCGCTCGCCGGTGGTAGATAAAAAGTCAAGGCATGATAGATCATTTATGCGTGAACGTGAGTCGCATAAATTTGCGTTATTTTTTATTTGCATTTCAACTCACCTCCGGTAGCGCTTCGGGCATCTCATCCTCTTCCTCCTCGTTACTCTCTTCCGAATCGGAATCATCGGATGATATGATCTTTGCTATATCCATGCTAATTGGTAGCATCAATTCTCTGCTCGCATTTTCTCGTTGATTCCCGTCGCCTAAGAGAGATTGTGCTTCCTCGAGTGGCGGAAAAGTCGTTTCGTTATTGGATATTCTCGTAGAAATTATCGTCGCCATTGCCAATTTTTGTGGCGGAGACATGCTACGCATTATTGGTATTACTTCGCCAATTTGTTCGCGCTTTTCCGGTATTTTCATCGCCTATAAAAAAAGAGCCAAGTATTATTTTTATAAAATTAATGAGAACACATATTCTAGAAGTAGCATATTTTTTTAATTAATTGACATGGACAATTTAATGCAAAAATATTGTTACAATCTTATATTTATCTATAAATTAACAACATATTTATTTGTGCATATACACATCTCTCTTTTAAATAAATTATATTTTATAAAAAAAAGAGAATTTAAGTAACAAATAATATTATAAGTATATGCCAATTGACTACAAATATACAATTAATTCGAAAATTTACCGGTTCAAGTACAAATCTGTTTACTCACGGATGCCACTACTTCTTGTACTTTGCTTGTTTTGTTTTTGTCCTCGTCGAACACCTTCAATGTCGGTATCTTCTCTTGAGCTTTCTCGCCATCGTTAACATCAATATTGTCAGCATTCTTCTTGGCATGGATCGGGGACAGTAGCACGACTGTCTAGAGAATGAAATAAATAATCGTCGAGTATATTGTGATACATAATTTTTATAATTGTTGTAAATATCATATAAGCAAATCGAATCGTTGAGCATTAGCATAGCGCAATAAAATTAAATGATGCTTGCATCATCAGCTCTAATCAATTACTCAAAATTTTTTAAAAGTTAAACATTTAATACTTTCAAATTAATCGATTAAGTAGAGTTAATTAACTAATTAATAAATATACTTTTAAATATTATTAGCATCTGTAATTATTAACTATCAGGCAAATATGTGCTTGATGCAAGATATGCGGGATATAAATGAACAAATTTTCATAATGTGAATTAATAATATGTTAATCAACTTCCGATACTGCTAATTAGTGGACGTCGTGAGATTTAATGCAATGCGAGTGAAAACGGCGCGTGCGGTTGAGCGAAGGGACAATAAAATGCAATTTCCTCGGAGTAACAATCGTAACGAGCGTGCAACGCCACTGCACATAGTTGAGAATAAATCGCAAGCAAGCGTAAATTACGTTACACGTATCTCCTCTTGTTTGCCAAGAACGTGGTTCCGATTATCGTAAAGGAGATCTTTTCTTACGAGAAGGAAGCTCATCCGTTGGCATTTACGTTTGTTGCACCGGAAATGACTGTAATGCGCCTCTGCAGGAATTCGTGTTGCAAGTTTATGCAATCGTCAAAAAGAAACAGATCTTTAAAATCTCATCAAAATCGTTATACAAATTTAATTCCTTCTTGTATACACGATATATATGATATATTCCATTAACTTAAAGATATAATTTGTGTATATAATGTCCTCGCAAAGAGAGACTTGGATTTAGTGAAAGTAAATGGTCATAAGTTTTCATTACTCTTGATAGTCGACAACCTGTAATTGACAACTTGATAAGCATCCTGCAATTTAATTATTTTAACTAAGCGAGATAATTATTATGAGTGATGTATAATCATGTTGAAAGCATGCATGGAGCATTAAATTTATATTTATATTAAAAAATTTTAATTCATATTAATGGACTCAATATTGTACTTATCGTTACTTACATTTAATTAATGTTAATAGATCGATATCCTTATAATTAATGCTTATGAATTTCTTTATGTGTTTTAATATTTAATGAAATAAACCGTTCCAACAGAGATACGAGAAAATATTTCTCGTAAATCTTTTAATAAAAGCAACTAGTTTCGCTAAAATATAATTAAGTTTAAAAGAGCAAATGCAACCACGCACGCATGTAAGAGTTCATTGACCATAACACATTATATACGGTTTTAGTCCTAGTAAAGATAACTTCTCAAATGTAATATAAATGACGACTCGATTATATTATGCACTATATATTAATAATTAAAAATGTATTTTTTAATTTTACATAATAAAAATTATTCAAACATTATATTCTTAAGTAAGTATATAAAATTTATAATTATATATAAATATTAATAATGAGAAAAAATATAAATTATAATTAAATATTAATAATGAGAAAAAATATAATCTTAGAGTAATCGAGAATAAGATTGATAATAATCTTTAAATTTTTATCAAAAAAAAGATAGAAATATAATATATTTTGTGCGTTCATTCATCAAAAATAAAACTTTAGCTGATCATATATGAGAATACAAATATAAAAATTCATTTTTTTTACAATATACATTATTTAATTCCCTTTTAGGGTTAAAGCTCTAAATTATTCGCAATTTTTCCAATTGACGTAACGACCCAGTAATCATCGAGCTGAACGGACGATTTCACTGGTATTCACAACAGGTTCTTCAGCGAAGTGAACGAAATCGCGTGACTCTGTTTGAGCATTCCGAGATGCGTATTCCAGGTCGGATAATTTACGTTAATAAAAAAAGAAGCCTTTCGCGAATTCTCGCGCGAGAGCGAACTCGGTATTCCGGCACGTGCGCGGGGCATTTATTACTTTTCCTCATTCCAGTGGATCAAGGTCGTGGTAAAGGTTGTTCCACTTTGGACCGCGTAAACTGATGCAGGAAGCATCATACAAAAACTGAGAGAACGATGAACTTCATCTATTCGGCCTCAAACAATCTTATATGTAAGAAAATACTCTTTAACAAAAACCACTAGTTGAATAAAATTATCTCAAATATAAATAAATAATAACAACAGATTAAAATTCCTTCTTCGATGATTGGTACGAAAATCGTACATCCTATTTTGAAAAAAAGAGAGGAATTAGATCGAGAAAAATATATATTAGATAAAAATATTTTTTTATGAGATGTATATTCTTTTATCATTCTACTTTTCGTGCGAAAGATAAGAGCGTTAAAAACGTAAAAGCTTTATAATTTAGCAGTAGTTGCAAAATTAAAAAGTTAAAGTGGCAATTAGAAATTTCTATTTTTAATCACAATTGTAATATTAATCATACTAATTATATACTAATTATATATCGCCGAAACCAAAATTATTCTTACCAGCAACACCCAGCATAACCGTCTTATCCTCATCCTAACAAATCGCTAAGACTCATCAACAGTTTCAATATCAGTCAATATCTATCACAATTTTACTGTCACTATCACTGCAACTGATTATCAATCTCTCGACACTATTTAATTAAGAAAATATCACTAAAATGATGATTTCCACTTGAAAAACGAAATAATTATCTTCCGATTCACAAACGTCACGTGTTTGCACAGGATCAAGGCTGCCTTGAAGGATTCTTTATTTCAGAGGAATCTCTCGATGCCGATATTTGTTTGCTAAATCCACCTACAGCCGATCTGCTCTTCGAACTGGCGCGAAACGTTCTCCGGTAGTGGTAGGAGACGAGAAGAGTCTCCTCACGTGGTCCACGTGGGGATAATATAGAAACGCAAAATCTCCCCCTCGTACAACCATGACCGAGAAAACCGGACCGTCGTCGGGTTGGTGGATAAGCGTGTCGTACCGGAGAAAAGGAAGAAGTCGGCCACAAATCGAGCTCCTTCTCTCCGTTCGCACGAGAGAGTCTTTACTCTCAGTCAACAGACTACACGCAGCATCGCACTCTTGTACCGCGATATACAAGGTGCTCGAGGTTCATCACACTTTCTTTCATTCCCTCAGTTATATTCTTTAAGTCGATTTAAGTATCCTATAATAAATTTCCTAAAAAAATGTCGAAATTTCAATTCTTTGATCGTTAAATTTTTTTATTTAAGAATTAATTATGTGAAAAAATTGGAAACTATAAAAAAAACACTGCGTTCTATTCAAATTTCGATAAAAAAATGATTCTAAATTGAGAGACCGATAGGCAAAAAAAATGAGAAAGACGTACGGTACATCTTGTACACTATAATTGTATCAACGTCGGGTTAACAGATGATCAACATGCATTATTCTTTCTACGATGCCGGATCTAATACTTTCGATGTGACACTCTATTGTGCCGAGAAAGTTTTACCTCACCATTGATCATAGCGATCTTTTCTTCTCGCATGCGTAAAACAGGTGACTCTATGAAAATGTCTTCGACAATCTCTATATAATGATAGAAAGCTGAGATTTTTTTCCTTAAATATCGAATAATTTTTTCTTTCTCAATGAAAATACTAATACAAACGAAAAATTAAAAAAAAATTAAAAGTTAAATTCTTTATTTAATTTTGATTAATTTTATAGAAATTTTAGAAATTTTGAGTAAAATGATAAATACAAGTCTATTTGAAAATATTTTTAATGTATATTGGAATATAATTAGAAATATAGAAATTAATAGGTAGAGATAGATAGATAAATAGACAGATTAATAGATTTTATTTATTCAAAGGCTATTATCATGCATGATGTAACTTGAGATTTATTCGAAAACACGTTTTTATTATAATAAAATATTACATTTATTCAGTCACGATTTAAATATTCGCATCGTTTTTACAGTACCGTGAAAAAAATTAATCGGCATGAGCGGTACAGTGGGTTAACCGATGAGTTGTTTTCTCTATGATTGCCACTTTATGTCTCTTACTTTCAATAATACGATTAACAGTATACGATTGTTTAGAGAAAGTCACCCAATTTCATAGTATTCTCCATATAATGGCATATTGATCATTGTGCTCGATTGCTGTCGACATTACAATAATAACTTATAAAAATGAATTTTAGAAAATATATGTATGGCGTGCGTTCATATATGTATATGTGTGTTAACAGAAGGTGTACTAATTCAAGAAGTGTACTAATTTAATGTTACGTTAATTGTACCGTTTGCAAAATTCGACAGCTCAGCAATTTCGATTTGAATTAATTTCTTATTACTTAAATATGTAGTTCAACATTATCGATTTAAGAGTGTTGAATTTATAAAATCGATACAATCTTATTTAGTATATATAATTCATAAGAAAAAATGTAATTTAAAATTTCAAATGGTATTTAAAGGAAAATGGTTATTAAAAAATGAAAAAAATTAACTCTTCTGAAAAGATTCTTATAAAAGATATTGCACAATATCACACTACTAGAAATACCATGCAATTTTAGACTGCAATTGTAAACTTTCTCACCTTAGATTAACTCATCTGAGATTGCTTGGAAAGTGCGCTAAACACTGTAATATACAGTTATCTATATAATATCTGTGGAAAAATAACGGCGAAAGTGTTATGCTATATATAAAGTGCGCATTTTGAAACATCAAAAGTGCGATAAAAAAAAACGCGCTAAGATATAGATACAAGTCGCATAGAAACACTTTCTCACGTTAATTATATTTCGCATTCATTATATTGTCATACTAATAAAAATATGAATTTCTTAATCCCCTTATTTTTACGAAACTGCTTTGCGAATAGCTTCGAAGGAAGAACTTAAAAATATATTACACGCATCTATTTAATTAATGCGCGTCATTTGAGAATCATTTATAAAGTGGCTTTCTCCTTCACAAATCAGTATTAATTAAAATTAATTTCTTGGCATTATAAATACTATATATAATTCTCTTGTCTACTACAAATATTACATATTTTTTGTAACTTTGTATAATTCACGCGCGTATTATACAAAGTATATTGCATGTAGACATGGTTTTGCTTGAGAACGGGAAGGATCTTAAAAATCACGCATTTCTGCTTTTGTTCTCGACGAGTAATTTAGCGTTGAAATAACGGTAATTAACGTATGTGACCTAAGACCTCTTGCGTCAATTACTTTCTTTTTTCTCTTCACAAAAGCGAAACACATTATATTCAAAATATACCGTAACTTTGCGCTCCACTTTGAAAAATTGATTTTTTATCTTCTTTTCTTTTATCCTCTCTCTTTCCCTCATCAAACACGATACTTCATTTCTACTAACAGCTGCTTGATGATGACGGAAGGGGCGAAAGCGGCGTTTTTCGCGTTACACGCGAATGGCGCGTTTTCGTTTCAGTGCTCTCTTGAACGACATGCTAATGTTATCCGCGCGATGTACGATGTACCATGAAGAAAATGTTGATTTGGTATGCAACTGAATTGTTTCGCGGAGAGGTCGCGAGTAAAACGTGCTGCTAATTCCCGCTGATATTAAGAATTACCATTAACCTACTTTCATGAGAGGACAAGTATCACGGAGTAAAGGACATTCGTTCTTTGGAAAATGAGGTCTTAGAGAATGTCTTATAGTCAATCGTATAATATAAAAATTGGAAATCGTCGTTGTATTAATTAAATCGTTGTTGTATTAATTAAATCGCTACACTCTCTTGAGAAGGTTGAAATAATCGAACAAAAAGATAATTTTTGAAAGATAAAGTGAATCTGAAAAAGAATCACACGATTTATAATAAGATATCTTAAAGCTTTATGATAAATCTCATATAAGCAAATTAAAATTTTTGAGACGTTCATTACAATGCTATTTATAATTAAAAATTTACACCCGCCTAAGCCTAAATTTATGAATTTCTAAATGCCTTTGGTGGCTTTTTTTGTAACTTTATAAGGTGATCAATAGACAGCTGGTCGATGTACATAAGTTTGCCGCGTTTTCAGCTGATCCATTAAATCGTGGATTAATCCTATTAAAAAAACTTCACCAAGATAAAAAATTAAAAACAATCATCTCTATAATATTACAAAAAGTTCACATACTTAAATATAATGAATTATCATAACTACAAAATTTCTCTTACAATTACAAATGATGTATTTTTGTATGATTATAAATGATGTATTAACTGATGACATTTAAAAAAAGGAAATTATCCATAATTTGAGTACTCAAACATAATTTTCACATAACAAAAGTAATAATTTTCATAATTTTCTCAAAAATTTTGGGCTTATACACTAAAAAGTTAATATACATTAAAAAATTAATTTCTAAAGTTATGTACTTTATTTATTTACAGATTTAATAATTAATGCATAACAAATATACAATAACAAAAATAAGTCTTATCGAAAAAAATTAATAGTAAAACACAAGCAATTAACTGTCAAACTTGTCTAACATATGTATATATAAAGAAATGATACATGTCCAGAAGATGAACAAATTAATATAAATTAAATTGTTATTCACAAAATATCTTCTCTGCTACACAATGTAATATGAATAACTAACATCGTCATTTTGTTATTAGAATTTTTATCTATCTTTTGAAATGAAGGAAATCTGCTATTAATTATATGTACAATCCGAAAAAACGTACACATTTTTTTCAATATATGTATGTTATTTTAGATTGTACATACATGAATATAATTAATAGCGCATTTCCCGCATTTCAAAAGTAAATAAAAATTTTAGTAATAATATGTCGATGTTATATAGTTTCTGAATATTCTGAATAATATTCAGAATGTAATATGAATGAATATCATTCATATTACATTGAAAAGCAGAGAAGATATTTCGTGAATGACAATCTCTATATTTGTTATTGATTAATTTTTACATATACTGTTATAAAACTTGTTCTTACACGCAGTTATTGAATTAGGAATTAAGAACATTGTATTAATATTATAAAAAATGTTATGTAGAAGATATTATCCTTAAAATATATTACATATTATTACTGTCAAGACAATTATCAAATGTGTCGACAAATATCAAATGTCAAGACAATTATCAAATGTATAGATGAAAAAATAGTAAAAATATATATAATTATTTGTATTTTTAAAAATAATTACATTATATTGATTTGTTAAAAAAAATATATATATATATATATATATATATATGTATATAAATATATATATATGAATATATTTAATAATGCATAATAATATCAATAATAAATTATGTTAATATTTATATTAATATTAATTTATATTTTATTATACATTATTATACATTGATTTCTAGTAATTTTTGACGATAACAATATATAAAATATTTAAAGTGTTATATTAATATATTGTACATGCTTAAATATAATTAATAGCAGATTTCTCTTATTTCAAAAGCAGATAAAAATTCTAATAACAAAATGTCGATATTAAATCTGAATATTATTCATAGTACATTGTATATATGTACATTGTGTATGTATAAAATATTTGACATTAAATTTCAGATCTTTTCTTTTCCGAACACAAAAGCTTCGATTAAACTTTGATAAATTAAATCAGCGTATAATTTTACGAAATAAAATCCGTCATAATAATTCAATTTTCTACAAT